TCATCATCATCATCATCATCATCATCATCATCATCATCATCGCCATCATCATCATCATCATCATCATCATCTTCATCATCATCTGCAGTGCCGCAATCATCACCACCATCATCATCAGCATCATCATCATCAACATCAGCATCAGCATCAGCAGTATCATCAGCATCATCAGCAGCAGAATCAGCATCCGCAGCATCATCACCGCCATCATCACCATCATCACCACCATCATCATCATCAGCAGCAGCATCATCGTCGTCATCCACAGCATCCTCAGCATCAGCATCATAAGCACTATCATCATCGTCAGCATCATCATCAGCTGCATCAGCATCAACATCAGCGTCAGCATGATCATTGATATCATCACCATCAGCAGCAGCATCATCACCATCATCATCGTTATCAGCACCGTCGTCAGCAGCCTCATAATCATCAGCATCATCCTCACCATCAGCAGCAGCATCATCAGCATCACCAGCATCCTCCTCATCATCACCATCAGTATCATCATCAACATCATGATCATCAGCAGCAGCACCAGCATCATCGTCACTATCGTCATCGTCATTATAAGCATCGTCATCCTCAGCATCATCATCAGCAGCCTCATCACCATCTGCATATTCAACTTGGTCGTCGCCAACATCATCAAAACAAACCTCGTCAGCATGAGCATCATCATCATCATCATCATCCTCAGTATCAGCATCAGCATCATCATCATCATCAGCATCATCATCATCCTCATCATCACCATGAGTATTGTCTTCGTTATCACCGTAACCATCACCAGCATCAGCATCAGCAGCATCAGCCTCGTCAGCAATAGCGTCAGCATCATCATCATCATCATCATCATCATCAACATCTTCATCAGCAAGATTACCATCATCATGATCATCAGCATCAGCAGCAGCAATATCGGCATCGTGTTCTTCATCATCGGCATCAGCATCGTCATCATCATCTCATCATCGGCATCCGCGTCATCAGCATGCTCGCCATTATCATCATCATCATCATCAGCATCATCATCATCAGCATCAGCATCATCATCATCAGCAGCATCGTCGTCGTCGGCATCACCATCATGAACGTCAACACAACCATCACCGTAACCATCACCAGCACCACCAACAACATCGTCGTCGATATCATCATCGTCAGTATCGTCACCGTCGTTGTCCATATCATCATCACCACCACCAACATCAGCATCATCACCCGCAGCATCATCATCCTCCGCAGCATCAGCAGCATCATCATCATCAGCAGCATCATGAGCATCATCATCCGCACCACCATCATCATCATCATCATCATCAACAACATCCTCAGCATCAGCATCATCATTGTCATCATAGTCACCATCATCCGCTTGATCGGGGCCATCATCCTCTACTGTCCCGCTCATCGCTCTTTCTCAACCTCCTTCTCCCCCTCCTGCTCCTCCTCCTGCTCCTCCTCCTCCTCCTCCGCCTCTTCCTCCTCCTCTTCCTCCTCCTCACCGATCCTCACCCCTCCTCACCCCTCCGCATACACATCCTGCGCATACTCCCTGTCTCCTCTCTCCTCCGTGCTTTCTCGCCTCCAAATCCCCTTCCTGCCTCCTCACCTCCTCTCATCCCTCCAACCCCTTCCTCCTCCGTCCACCTCCTACGTCCGCCCGTCTCCTCCCTTTCCTCCTCCTCCTCCTCCTCCTCCTCCTCCTCCTCCTCTTCCTCCTCCTCCTCATCGTCAGCATCCTCAGCAGCAGCGCAGCAGCAGCAATACCACCCTTCTCCAGTCCTCTCCCTCATGGGTAACACCTCCCCGACACACCCCGAGGCCAACCGAAAGGGCGGACCCCGCCTTACGCCCAAGACGTCTTTACCAGCGATAACCCTGAAGCCTAAAAACTGACAAGCGCTTCACAGATGGACGGCGGTTCGTTTTCAACATGCGGTTGTCGCCTCAGCGCCGCGCACGCTCGTCTTAAAGATTTGCAGAAGATTCAAAGATTGAGGGCGGGTCGTTTTCAAAATGAGGTTCTCGCCTTCAGCGTCTGGAAAAGATTCAGGACCATCAGGGCGCATCAATAACGTTGATTCGGGATGGTAATTATGGTCTTCCAGCACAACTCAGCATCGCCAAGACGCAACAGTCAGGATTGACACGTGGCGTTGATGTCTTGGAAATAAATTTCAAGACTTCCACACCGTTGTCCAACAACGGGGTGATTTCCCTCAGTGAGAATGAACCCCTATAGGGCCTCTGTGAAGGGAGTTTGGCGGGAGGGTGATTTCCAACATCCTTGACGAACATTTGGTTTATACTGGTCATTATCCTGTCTCTCCTCCTCCTCCTCCTCCTCCTCCGCCTCCTCCTCCCGCTTCTCCTCCCCACCGAAGCCTTCGAAAACCCTTGGACACAACGAAGAAATCCGAGAGCCGCCGGGAAGGCTTGGAACAGACAACAGACACGGCGACGATTTGCAGCAGCGGCAGCGGCTGCGCGCCGCTCCCGTCGACTATGGCGGCGTGGAGCTTTTGGAAGTAGGGTACCGTCTCGGGCTTCACCTCGTCGTCGTCGCCTCTGGCGTCGTCGCCAGCGTCTTCCTCCCTCCACCTTCTTCCTCCTCCTCGTCCTCTTCCTCCTCCTCCTCCTCATCCTTGGTCGCAGGGAAACCCCCAGGCTTAACAAAAGAATTACCCTGCGACATACCCAAACCATCGGCACTGAGGGATGATATAAGGCGCGCCGATAAGAGTGCGGCAGCAGCACTGCAACAGACGGTACACGGCGGACTTCTAGATCGTGCGAAGTGTGCGTGGCCGACTCGAAGAACAGTGGTACAAACGGCCAGAAGGCATTGAAGGGGAGGGAAAGGAAAACGGAGACATTGGGGTGAAAGAACAGTCACCTCAGCAGAAGCAGCGACATGATGGAGCATGGGCAAGATAAGGTTACATAGGCGGAGACGCAACCAGGCAATGAAGTGTCGCGTTTGTCCATGCCGACGTGCTCAACACCTGCGCAGCCAGCGCTTCGCGTTGCTGCAGCGCCTCGTCTTATTAGAGAAGGTCAAGGCGAGGAAAAAGAGAAGATGAGAGGAGGAGGAAAGGAGAAGGAAGAGAATGATGGAGGCGAGGAGCGGAGGGAGAGGTGGAGAGGATGGGAGGGGGAGGGGGAGCAGGATCCTGTTCCCCCCCCTACCCACCTCCACCCCTTCCCTCCAGCACCCCAGTGAGGAGTTTGTGCGCGAGTACGAAATCAGCTCGAACTCGCTGAGCATGTATTGGGGATCGCGTCGCGAGGCCCTGCAATAGGCCACGAAGAGCAAGCTCACCCTAGAAGGCTACGAGCTCGCCGAGTGGGTGCCCACCATGGATGAAGCGAGAAGCGGTGACACTGGAATGAATGCGCGCATCCTTCCTCCTTGAATTGAGATTTAGCGCTAAACATGGTAAAACGAAAGTCAAGTACAACGAGCACCAGTCCACGTTCCATCATTCCATCTCCATCCGAACGGGGATGGTTAGCGCTAAACGGGACCAACGTGGGCACGAATAGCGACTTCCCCAGGCGAGTTGGCTGGGCTGCTTGGTTCGCGGACTTGCAGTTCAAGCCATTGACTGGGGATGCGACGAGCCTCGTGGCAGAGGATGCGCAGGTCGAGGGCATCATGAGACCATCAGGAAATCGGGCACCCAAGTCGGGTTGTCCCCCCTTCCTCCTCCGCCTCCTCCTCCTCCTCCTCCTCCTGCTCCTCCTCCTACTCCTACTCCTACTCCTACTCCTACTCCTCCTCCTCCTCCTCCTCCTCCTCCTCCTCCTCCTCCTCCTCCTCCTCCTCCTCCTCCTCCTCATCATCATCATCCTCCTCCTCCTCTGGGGACGAGGTCTAACTTTGTCCGTTACGTGCGCGCATTCCGCGCGTGCGGAAAGTGCGCGTTGGAAGGGCGTACGTCTAGGATGTAGGACAAGAATTGCACATCCCTTACTCCCAAATCCTCCCCCCCTGCCCTCGCCACCCCCAACCAACCGCAGGAGCACTCGACACGCATTGGTACGGCTTCGAGGAGTTCGGCATGGCATCCCGCGCCCATGAGGGCTGGATATCAGGCCAACCAGTCGAGCACGCGAAGCTCATGTACGTGGACAATGCTGATTTCCAGCCGTTCGACGCGAAGATGGCCCTCTGGGGAGATGGCACGTCGAGGTGCGTCCCGCAGTGCACGGTGGCGATGTACGAGACGCTGCACGGTGCAAAGGCCATGACACTCGACACGGTAGTCGATGCACATGCTGCTAAACCTGATGCAGCACCAGCCCAAGCAGTACCTAAAGAAGACGCACGCGCTGCTGCAGGTGAAGGCGCCGCAGCTGCAGACGCAGCAGTTGCAGCAGGGAAGGCGCCGCAGCTGCAGACGCAGCAGTTGCAGCAGGTGGTGATAGCTTAGGCGAGACGGCATCTGGCCAGCCGAGATGGACCGGTACGACAGCAGGCGGCGATAGAGTTGGGAAGGGTGTCAGCGTCAGCCAGCCAAAGGGCAAGGCTAAGCAAAATCTCGCAAAAATGAAAACCATTGGCGGTCAGACGGTACTCAAAAGGCCGACCGCGAAACAACCAGCTGCATCTAAAGCACCACCAGCTGCCGAAGCAAAACGCCCACGACCAGACGAGCCTGAGGACGAGCCGATGAGCGGGACCGATAAGTTCGAGGAGCTCGGAGAAATTGAAAAGCTTGGAGGATGGGGAATAGGGGGGAGGAGGAGGCGAAGGAGGAGGAGAAGTAGGTGGTGGAGGATGGTGATAAGGGGACTGAGGAAGATTCAGGGGGCGCAGAGCAAGATGAATGATCATATCCGCATCCTCCCTCAGGAAGCTGCAGATCCAGCTGCACCGGCACCTCCAGCAACAGTAGTTTCTACGCCACCGCCCTGCAGCGCCACGCCACGCACACTGCCCCCGAAGGCGAAGACCAAGTCGCCTTCGCTGCGCCCGCAGTGGATCCCACCGCCAGCGTTCGACTCTTGGATGGACAACTTATTCGCTGGCCACGAGACATCCCAAGACGATCTTCCTCCTCATCATCGTCCTCCCCCTCCAGAGGTCACCCCCCCAACTCTTGCGACCCGAATTGCTTGCCTGACCAGGCACCATGAAACCATAGCCCCTCGAATAATTAGAATTGTGATGGCGCAGCGTGCCCAGGCGCCACTGCCATGCAAGGTCGAGCATCCTAATTACACGGAGGGTGTGGAACGAATTCTAAACGCTGCGTGCATCCCACAAGCCAAATAGCAGCATCATTATGTTGGATATTCCATGGCAGAGCTCACCTTGGGCTCGATGATTCAATGTTATCGCGGCCGCGGCCCCACCGTGTTCAGACCCAGGGGGAGTAGGTATACATGTATGTATAAGCATGTACATGTACAAACCTGTATACATCTTTATATATTACACATATATGTGTGTAGCAAGTTGCCAGATGAAGTTGGCAGCGCTCACCTCGGTTCCGGGTGATTATGCAATAGACTGCTCGTCCGTTTCCGTTTTGGCTAGAATGTCTGAAGCAGACGACACCGCCCCCAAGATTTTGCGATCGGGCGTTGCCATGGCATTTCCTTCGACTATGTCGCTGAGGATGCGCACGGCAGTGATAGAACGGGCCATATATTCCGCAAGAGCCGATGGCCGAGGGCCCTACCCAACCCCAGACAGAGGCCCAGGCCGAAGCTGCAGCTGCTGCAGCTCCCCATGTCATCGACCTCGATTGGCCATCACCCGAGAAACCAATGCCGCACGACGACTCGGAGGGCCGCGTCGACCCGAAACATCCCGCGGCATCCGAAGATGCCTCGAAACTCTCCTCCTCCCGCTCCTCCTCCCGCTCCTCCGTGCCTGCTCTCTTCTGCTCTCCTCCTCCTCCTCCTCCTCCTCCTCCTCCTCCTCCTCCTCCTCCTCCTTTTCCTCCTCCTCCTCCTCCTCCTCCTCCTCCTCCTCCTCCTCCTCCTCCCCTCCGCCTCCGCCTCCCCTCATCCTCCTCCTCCTCCTCCTCCTCCTCCTCCTCCTCCTCCTCCTCCTCCTCCTCCTCCCCCTCCTCCTCCTTCCCCTCCTCCTCCTCCTCCTCCCCTCCTCCTCCTCCTCCTCCTCCTCCTCCTCCTCCTCATCCTTCCTTTTCCTCCTCCTCCTCCTCCTCCTCCTCCTCCTCCTCCTCCACCTGCGCGATATTGCAATAAATCCTAAGGAAGAATCAGGCGGGAGCCGTTCTTGATGTAAGTCGGGGGCCAGGGGCGCAGTTTGGGTAGGAAAAACGTTCCTGTGTAAGAAATAGGGTGCGAGCCCTGGCAGAAAAACTTTAATTGAGTAACAAAAGATGCACTGGAGGGGGATCAACAGTAAATAATCTTGAGAAAGTTGATTCAACGACAAACATGTGAAGACGATTCGCTCTCATGTGCGAACGTGCCATTCAACGCTTATATCCCAAACCCTCGATAACCGCCCTCTTCGTCTTCGATCGCACCCCCCGTGAAGGAGCATCTATCTGTACCTGTGTATATATATATATATACACACACTAGAAAAAGACTATGGACATCAAAGATTTTGCCCTCTCGGGGCGCTCTTGGGCGGCATCTTAAAGGCCTCTCCGGGCGTCTTGGGAGCCTCCGGGGCAGTTTAAAACGTATCGTGCGTCGCCAGAGACCCCTGAACGGCGTCTTCGGGGTGTCTCGAGACCGTCTGGGGCCGCCGGGATTGCTGTCTGAGGGCTCCCCGGGGCGATTTTAGGCCTCCCAGAGGCGAGCCGGCGCGCCGGGCACCACACGCGCGCTTCGCGCGCACTTAAATTCTAGCGTGTCACAAACACAGGAAGCCCAAAAGGCGAAGACGCCAAACATATCAGTTTTCCGATAGGAAATCGACGATGTTTGCTTATTGAGGCTCTATTGGGGTGCCCCTTGGGGCGTGTTCGGGGCCTCTTTATGTGTTTTTGCGGGTCTCTTGGGGACCTCCTGGGGCTTCTTGGGCTCTTCTTGGAGCCTCTTGGGGTCTCCTGGGGGCCTCTTGGGCCAAACGACTCGCATTTTCGGTTCCTCGTCCCCGTCTTGGGCGCCGACTTGCGGCGTTCTTGGGCGGTTTAGGCGTCTCGTGGGCCGTCTTGGCACCCTCGTGGGCCGTCTTGGAACCCTCTTGGGGGCACCCTCGACCGTCTTGGGTGCCTCGTGTGCAGTCTTTGACGCAGTGGAAGCCCAAAAGGTGAACACGCCAAAAATATCAGTTTTCCTATAGGAAATCGGCGATGTTTGCTTATTTGGGGCTCTATTGGGGTGCCTCTTGGGGCGTCTTCGGGGCCTCTCTTGGTGTTTTTTCGTGTCTCATGGGGGCCTCTTGGGGCTTCTTGGGCGCTTCTTGGAGCCTCTTGGGGTCTCTTGGGCCCAAAGGCGCGAATTTCCGGTTCCTCATCCCCGTCGTGGGCGCCGCCTTGGGGCGTTCTTGGTCGGTTTGGGCGCCTCGTGGGCCGTCTTGGCCCCCTCATGGGCCGTCTTGGGGCCCTCTTGGGGGCATCCTCGACCGTCTTGGGTGCCTCTTGTGCCGTCTTTGACGCAGTGGAAGCCCAAAAGGCGAACACGCCAAAAATATCAGTTTCCGATAGGAACTCTACGATGTTTGCTTATTGGGGGTCTCTCGGGGTGCCTCTTGGGGCGTCTTCGAGGCCTTCGGGGGCCTTCTTGGCGTCATGAGAGTCGTCTAGAAAGGCGTCTGGAGCCATCGCTGCTGCCTCCTGGGGCCTCCCTGCAACCTCTTGGGGCCCTGTTGGCACCGGGTCGCCGAAACCATGTAAAAACACACGGAAATGACGCCCGGGCCCCGCATTTGCGGTCGGGGCGCCGGCCCCCGGCCCCCGGACCCGGTCCCCCGTTATATGTATACACATACATACATATATTTATAGAGAGAGAGAGAGAAGAGAGAGTGATGTGCGTATGGATTCCTCACCTGCCGCGTGTAGTTGGCGCAGCCGCTAAAACAAGGGAAGGAAGGGAGGAGGGAAGAGACAAGGAGGAGTGAGAAAGATGGAGCACAAGAGAGACTCGCAGGAGGGGGGTCAGGAGCAGGAGTACAAACGGCAGAACCAAACGGGCGGGTCGGGCGGGCGGACCCTCACGGACAGGTCGGGCGGGCGGGCCCACACGGCTGGGTCGAGCGGGCGGGTCGCTGAAGCGTGAGTCCCAAGCGTGAGTGCATGAGTCGCAAGGAAGTTTCGAACGATAGCGCGATTCCCAAGTAAATCGCAAGGAAATCGAAAAGCGAGAGCATGATTCCTGAGTCTAGGGGGCAGGAAGTACCTGGCGGGCGCGCGACTCCTGCATAAATTATGAGGTCCCGCACGAGAGCCTAACTTCAAATGAATTGTGAGGAAATATCAGGCGGGAGCCGTTGTTGTTTTGGTTCGGGGCCCAACAACACAATTTGAGGATCGAGACTTTCCCTGCTAAGAATATAGTGCACTGCGAGCCTCGGAAGTAGCACTTTGATTCAAAACACAAGGTGCACTGGAGGGAGGTAAGCAGTAATGTTGTTGAGAAAATGAAAATGCAACAACATTGCAACAACAATCTGCACCTCTGAACCCCACTTCAGCCACGCACCCACGGACAGTGAATGACCGTTCGGTCCCCTCTCTCGGATCTAATGAACCTATCGGCGGCGAGCCCTGGGGGGGGGAAATCAGAGGGGGCTGGCCTCATCAGAAGGCTCGGAAGGCTTCTGAGAAGCCCCACCGCCTTCTGCCCCCTCCCACTTCCCCCCAGACGCCGCTCCGAAACCTACCCCCCCCCCTGTATATATATAATACACAGAGAGAGATACATATATATATATATATATATATATATATATATATATGTGTAAACATATATGTAAATATACACATTATATATACCTGCCCCCCCCCCAAAAAAAAAAAAAAAATGGGAAAGGGGGGGAGGCGCGGCGCGCGTGAGCGCGCGCCCAGCGCCCGAGGGGCTGGCAGGGGAGCGCGCCTCTTCCACGAGGGGGCACTGCCACTCGCCCGCCGCGCGGGGCGACCGCCTGCCCGCCCCCAGCCGCCAGGAGGAAGGGGGGCAAGGAGGGGGAGGGAGGAGGGAGGAGGGAGGGAGGGAGGAGGGAGGAGGGAGGAGGGAGGAGGGAAGAGCGGAGGGAGGACGGAGGGCGGAGGAGGGGGCAGGGAGGGAGGAGGGAGCAAGGGGGGGAAGACTGGGGGAGAGAGGACACAAGACGGAGGCGGAGGCGGAGGAGGCGGAGGAGGAGGAGGAGGAGGAAGGGGAAGACGAGAGAAGGGCCCGTCCTGGTCCCCGACTCGCCTGGTCTGCAAGCCCCGGCTGGCGCAACCCCTCCCCCTTGGAAACGGCCGCCGCTTGGCCGGCAGGCCCTCGCGCCAGGGGGCTGGTGCGGAGTACCGGGGGGGTGCTCTGGCACCAGTTCAAAAAAGCGCCCGGGCCGCGCTCCGCCGCTGGAGGAGGAGCGGGGAGGAGGAGGGGGCGAAAGATTGTCAACATGGACCAGACTGATGAAGGGGCCCAGGGGCACACAAATAATACACACAGATACCAGGTTTCTCCATATTTTCCTATATTCTCGGGGTTTTCGTTTTCCCCCCCGCTTCCCATATTTTCCCACCTTTTCCTGGGAGTCGACGACGAATTGTGTCTATGTCTTTTTGTTCCCTCCTGAACTGAGGCCTACGCGCGTCGACCTTTTGAGGCGGCATCTGACAAAAATCGAACGGGATCGACCCCCCCGTCATGCAAGGGAAGTGACGGCTACTCACTGCGCGCGAAGGCGCGCTATTGCACTTGCACTTGACAAAGTGGCAAGGGCAAGGAGAACTCAATTATTCCAAGTGTCTGGACGAGTGCAGTTTGTCGATTCATATTTTGTGCGCTTTCCTAAACAAGTGGGTCGGCATCCACCCAAGGAGCGAAATAGCGCCGCAAAAGCATTCACCCGCCATCCCCCGGGCATGGGCATACGCCGTTTTCCTCAACACCGTTTCGCTCAGTGGTTCGAATAGTGGCCCCACAGAAAAGAAGAAAAACAACAAAACAAAAACAGACAAACAAAAAACTGGGGGGCGGGGAGCCCTAGCCCCCTTAATGGTTCTGGACGAGGTTAGCGGTCTCACCGTTCCGAGCTTCCGACACTCCAAGACGGCCCAAGAAGAGGCATTCAGGATCGCCGCAAGACGGCCCAAAAGTCCCCGAGAGAGCCCAAGACGGCCCAAAAGGGCCCCAAGGCGGCCTAGGAAGGCCCCAATACAACCCAAGAGGCATCCGACAGCGACCCGAGAAGGGGCCAAGAAGCGAAAGGCAAAGGGGCCCCAGGAGCCTTTCCCCGCACGTTGCCCCCACGACCCCCGCCATGCCCCCCAAAGCCTCCCAGAAGCGCCCACGAAGCCCCGACGGGGCCAGGCAATAACCTCAAGCGGCAGGTCATACTCATTCCCCCGCAACGGCGCCAGCGATCAGTCTCTGGGCGGCGGCCGCGGCAGGCTCGCGCGGGGGGGCCAATGAATGGGCGGGCCCGCCGAAAGCGCGCCGGCCGCCCGGCGCCGCGCAGGTGGTCGAGCCCACCTGCTCGCCGAGAATGGCGAGTGCAACGCTGGTCAGCCTCGGCAGAGGACAGAGGAGCGGGTGGGTGGCCGAGGAGCTGGAGAGGCTGTCAGGCGCAGGAAGCAAAGGACAATGAGAAAATGCACCCTCCTACAGCGGCACGGGCGCTCATTCTCCGGGCAGCGGCAGCAGCCGGCACGCTCGGGGGGGGCCCTCAAAAGGGCCCGCCGAGCGCGCGCGAGACCCGCGGCGCCGCTCAGGTGGTGGAGTCCACCTGCCCATGCTCAGAGCCCTTGCGACGTGACAAGACTGGGACGGGCGGCCGCGAGCTGAGTGGACCACGCCAAGGGCCAGCTCAAAGGAAGGAAGGCGATCAAGCAGTCGCTGGCAGTGGCGTGAGAAAAGATAGGAGTTCCCGAGAGTGCAAGGAGGCCAGACAGAACTGACGAAGCGGCGGCAGCCTGCAGAGAGCGCTCAGCACTATATGTAGAGGCTCGACGCCACCCCGCCCACGCCAAAGACGCGAGGGACGCCCCCGGAACCCGCAGGCAGGCAGGCGCGAGGTTCAACCCCGAGGCCGATTTGATAAGCCGAACGCCAAGAGACGAAGGCAAGTGGTTCCACCGAGTACAGAAGCCGCTTTGCCCGAAGGGCGTGAGCGGATCGGTGGGACACGGATGCTGAACTACTTGCTCCAACAGGCTCACCGCAGACCTGTCCGAGCAGCGAGCATGATGCGTCGGATAGGACCGGCGGGCCTTCAGCACAAGTATGGAGAAGAAGGCGTCAACGCTGGGTTCAAAACGCCCGCTAGGCTGCGAAAGGTCACAGCATTCAGACGCCAAAAGCTCCCCATGTCTAAGGAACATGGTGAAGCCCATGAGCAGCTTAGGAAGCTCACCAACTTCCACTGCTTGGCGACATCACCCTGGCATCCAAAAAGAAGGCACGCCAAGTGCGGGCGCGCGGACTGGATGCCCAGGATACGCCAATGAGGACAGAATGCGGGGACCCCTCATTATGAAGCCACGCGCCGAAGATGTCGAGAAACCGACAAAGCAAGACGCCGCTGCGATATTAGGTGGCAGGTGAGAAACAGACCATGTGAAAGACTCACCACGGCCGCAAAGAGTTGGAGCCGTCTGGGCGTGGACAGCGAGGAGGAAAAGCCCACCAGTTGCTGCCCCACGGCTGCAAGAGGGGAACAATGACAACGGCAAACGGCCGAGGACGAAAGAGAAGCTGCCAAAGAGAAGAGCAACCGCAGGCGGGAAGCAAGACGGAAAGGAGGCCAGGCAGGAGGCGACAGAAGGCACAAGCAAAGGCAGGAGAGGTAGACACGGAAGTCAACCTTGGCGCGGGCCCAGCCTGGGGAAAGGCAAAGGCGCGTGTAGCGCCGAGCCTACCGACACCGTCACCACCCTCGGCGGGAGACGGGCCTCTTCCGAGAGGAGGCACCTCCGCTGCCCGGGCAAAGGAGAACCGGCGCGGGAGGGAGCAGGCGAGGGCGACACACACGCACACCCACACACACACACACACACACACACACAGATTGTGAGGATGTCTCAGGCGAGGCGTTGGTCTCAGCATTTCAAATAGGGGGTGCCGCCCGGGGCGAACACGCTCCAAAATTCGCGCCCAGCGTGCAAGGATGACTCAAGCGGTTTGCCCGCTTCTGCCCCCCAACATCCTGCGCTTTCGGAGCAGATTGCGAAGATGCCTCAAGCGAGGCATTGGTTTCAGCACTCCCGAGGGGGGGGACCGACAGGGGCGAACACACTCCAGGATTCGCGCCCAGATTGTGGGGATGTCTCAACCAGCTCGCCTGTTTCTGCCCTCCAGCATTCTGCGCTTTCGGAGCTCGTTGCAAAGATGCCTCAAGCGAGGCGCTAGTTTCAGCACTCACAAGGGGGCGTCGCCAAGGGCGAACGCACTCCAAGACTCGCGCCCAATATTGTGTGGATGTCTAATCGGTTTGCCCGCTTCTGCCCCCCAACATCCCCTGCTTTCAGAACAAAATTGTGAAGATGCCGCGGGCGAGGCCTTGGTTTCAGCACTCCAGCCGCCAGGGGTGGGGACACTCCAAAACTCGCGCCCACTTTGTGGGGATGCCTGAGGTAGTTTCCCTGCTCCTGCCCCCCAGCATCCTCTGCTTGCGGAGCAGATTGTGAGGGTGTCTCAAGCGAGGCGCTGGCTTCAGTACTCCCAAGGGGCAGCCGCTAAGGGTGGGGACGCTCCAAAAATCGCGCCCACTTCGTGGTAGTGTCTCGAACGGTTTGCCTGTTTTTGCCCCCGACCCTCTCTTGCTTGTGGAGCAGATCGTGAGGATCTCTCAAGCAACTCGCTGGTTTCAGCACTCCCAAAGGAGAGCCGCGATGGGGATCTCTCACGGGCCCGTTCGCACTCGGGTTGCGAGGATGTCCCAAGCGGTTTGCTTGATTCGGCCACCAAATGTCTCTCCAGTGCTGGCACAATGCTCACAACGATATAGTAGGCGTGGCACTTGGGCACCCCAAGAGGGGGGGCGCCAGGAGTCACAACATTCCAGGATTCGCGCCCAGAGCGCGCGAATGTCTGAGGCGGTGTGCCTCTCTCGCCCCCACAGAGCTAGCTTTTGTAGTGGTTAAATGCTCACCACGATATGACAGGCGTGGCGCTCGGGTACCCCAAATGTGGGGCCACTACGGGTGGGATCGTCAAATATTTCGCGCCCAAATCGCGGGGATGGCTCGAGCGGTTTGCCAGTTCGGTGGTTTGGACTGGCGGGCTGTCGCCAAAGATTGTGAGGATGTTTCGAGCGAGGCGCTGCTGTCGCAGCAAGGCGTGAGGATGTGCGAAGACCTGGCAGGAGGAGAAACAGGAAAACGGAAGAGGACGGGGGACGATGGCGGAACACGAGGAGGGGGAAGGAGGATGTACGATCAGGAAGATTACAAGGACGGTTCGAGCGAGGCGCGTGCTTCAGCCCCCCAACGGGGAGCCGCCAAAGAGGTTGTTATTCAGACGCCTCCGCCTCACCCTCCCCGCCACCCCTCCCCGTCCCCCTCCCCCACACACACAGTCCATTCAGGCTGATGCATACTCAGACTCAAACTCAGATTCGAACGCAAGATCACTCATATCCCGACTGGCTCACCTTCAAACGCACACCCGGACTCATCCACGATCAGACCCATCATGCCGAGACTCCGTAAAACCCAAGCCCCACTCACACCCAGACCCAATCACACACAGACTCGCTTAGATCCAGACCCCATTTTCCACATCCAGACGCACTCGCACGCACATCTACTCACACTCAGACTTGCTCCCACGCAGACCTATTCGAAGTTAAGCGAACTCGCGTCCAGATTCGCTCACACTCGGACAGAGTCGCCTCCAGGTGTGCGACTCACTCGCTTTTAAAATTGCAGACTGCGGGGATGTCTCGGACAAGCGGTTCGCTCTCATACAAACGCCCACTGACATGTAGCTACA